CAGCTCGCACACGTGAATGAGTTCACTGGAATTTTTGTTCTCCGAAGAGAACATATCGGCCTAAAATGAATGATCTCGGCTGAAGAGTTCTTAAGCCGATATACAGGAAAAAGTATCGATATAGGTTCCATCCAGGATGCCGAGGTAATAGAACCTAGGGGGCAGTTGTGGGGATATATTTTCTAAGTACCAACACGTGACAAGGTGACGCCGACATGTCAGCCGAGGTGCCACGTGTCCTGGTTATGACGCCGAGATGATCTCGGCGAGGCCGAGGTTATCTCCGAAGATATCAGAATCCGAAATAAGAGGATAAAAGATAAGAGACAAGAGTCCTGGGATAAAGAGGAGGCTTAGTTAAGATGAGGATAAAAATCTTTGGGATTTTATCTTTATTTCTTAAAGAGTCCAAAGTAAGTACTGAGTTGGAGTCCATAGAAGTCAGGCTTCTAGTGAGACTAGGATTAAATAAACTATAAAAGAGAGGCATCCCGTGGGTCTAAGGTACACAATTTTATGTTTTGAGCTGTGAGTTTAGCACTTTATTATCTTTGAGATATACTGACTTAATCATCGGAGTGCCTCCAGGTGGAGGAGCCACCGCCGGAGCCTTTTCTTTCTGTCACAGGTTAGCTGAAGCCATCTATTCTGCCGGTACTCTCTAGCTGATTACTAAACGGGCAGTGTGATCGGAAAATCACTCACACACTAACTATGCTTGTGTGATGTTACAAGTGCTTTGTATGATGTCACCTGAACACATAACAACATAAAATCTGGGGAGAATTAACGCACAAACTTCACACCACACAATCAATTTACACAAAAAAAAAAAAAAAAACACAAGAACAATAACGGCCACTGCACGACACAAAAACGATACCACGCACAAACACAATGAACACGTGAATAACCAACAGAGCGACCGACCCAGGCAACAAAAACAAAACGTGCAATCACAACAAAAAAGGTCATGCCACCGAAAAATGGAACATAATACAATCAACAACCCAAGACTCCCTCTCCCAACATCCAGCCAATGTTACAATCAAAAACCTTGGTAGACGTTAACATTTCCATTCCCATTCCCATTCCCAGCTAAAAATCAAATCAGCCAATTAGGAAAATGAATCACACAAAGTGTATTCATATAAATTCAAATGGAATCAAAATCAACTAAATAAAACTTATCCCCCCTCAAAAAAAAAAAAAAAAAGACTAATTAGTCCATAAGAAATCTATCAGGACTAAATGGTTCAACTTTCTCTCATATCGGATTTATGGATAAATTTCCCTAGTATTTTTTAAAATTAATTTTTAATTTAAAAATTCAAAATTTTTGTTGGAAGTTTTGGAGCTCCCGCAAGGCTCCTTATAAAAAAGTCACTTTGCTATAATATATAGTATAGATAGATAAAACGAATGTATTTGTACAATATTCATAATTGATGAAATCAATATATATGAATTCTTATATGAAAATGTGTTGCTTTCACCCTTGCAAACCGCTTCTAGACTTGTTCAAAATAAATAAACCCTGTAGATCACTTCTAACAGTGGTGTATTTATGTGATTTTCATAATTGAGGGAGTCAAAATATACGAGTTCATAAACGAATGGACTAAAGTAATTTAGTAATAGTTGAGACTCTTAGGGTTGGTTTGGGATAGGTTATTTTAATAAATTTTTGGCTAAAATAAGAGATGAAAAAAACTAATATATTTGAGGTGATTTTTTGACTTTTTACAAAAAAACATGCAAATGGTACAGAGGAAAGAAAATTTTGACTTTTTAGTATAATTCTTTCGCTTTTTAATTTTTTTAGTAATTTTTTGACTATTATAGGGAGTTCATGAACCAAGCCTTAGTGTAATTAATCCTAATTTTTTTAATACTTAAATGTATTTAACTATACATTTAATAATTTTAATATAAATATATAATTTTTTTTACCAAAAAATATTAATAAATATGCCAAAAAATATATACATATTTTTATTTTGGTTATAAAAAAATATTCACAATATATTTACTAATTTAAGAAATAAATAAATAAATTGGCTAAGTGACTCACGGGGTTGGGAGATGAACCAAAACAATTCTCAAAAAATTATATGGTTCACATAAAAAATCAATCCAAATTTGGCTTCAAAACTACTTTTAGTATTTAATCTACTAACACATTCAAACTAACTCATGTTCATAACAAATTGAAAAACTATGATATATTACCAATTATTTTTACTAATTGACCAATCAGTTTTTTAGATCAAATCCAAGATAAGACTACCACAAGATGGATATTTGGAAAAATTACATCTCAGTGGAGCAGTGGCAAAAAAATTACATTTTTATGATGATACAACTCTCCTGTGTGCATGGTGCAAATTCACTCCTATGCTTAGTGAAATTTTTCTTGTGTGTCAGAGTTGCACCAAAAAAGTTTCTAATTTATAATGCAATTATTTTGTGACTGTCTCATCTATTTGCAATTTTCACTTGATATTTTAGGGTTACATGATATTAGGTAGTTTTTCCATACACAAAAAATACTTAACCATTAATGCAATAATTTTAAATACAAGTAAATATATTTTTTAAAATTATACCAATCACAAACTTAATGGTTAAGTATTTTTTGAGCATGATGGCCCGCCTAAACCACATAGTTTAACTCTTTCTGCCAATCACAAACTTATTGGGGGCACTACCTTAGGTGGCCATGAGCATGATGGCCCGCCTAAACCACCTAGTTTAACTTGAAATTTTTAGGATTTTAGAAAAATACTTATTGGGGGCACTACCTTAGGTGGCCATGAGCATGATGGCCCGCCTAAACCACCTAGTTTAACTTGAAATTTTTAGGATTTTAGAAAAATATTTAGCTCAGAAGGTTGAATTTGACTAAGATTTTGAGGTCATTTAATTTTTTTTGTTGGGTTTGGAATAAAAAGTTTTTACCTAGCTGGCTTACTTATTTATAAAATATTAATTTTAATTTTTATATTATTTAATAACAAAATAAACTAAACAAATAATACAAGAAAAAAGAAAACTACATAAACACTTCTTTCTATAACTTAAATTAAAATATTTTTAATTGATAAAATAAATTTTTAAACACTTTTCAAAAGAATCATATTTATTTTACAATTAAATTTTATTAATGTTCCAAATTCAAATTATTAGTAAAAATGTCCAAATAATTTAATAATCTTGAAAAAAAAATTATTAAGTAAATTAATGGGTTAAGAGGTGGGTTTGAAATTTATATATTATTGTAGAAATGGGTTTGGAATAATTAGATTAGGTCCTCTTGGCTTGGGTTTGAGCCAACATCTTACCGTGTCGAAGATCTAAGTTGAGGTTGAGTCGCAGTCTACTTGTGGCATTTGGCGTTGTACTTTTAAGAAAATAAAGTTAAGCTTTCACTACTACCTATGGGTTTGGGTAAGATGGTAAACGCTTGATCCTATAATTAATATCAAAGTGAGGTTTCAAGTTTGATTTCCCTAGATGGCATGTTGCTTGCAAGCAGGTACTACAGGGGATTGTTGGCCTAGATTTGGGCCATTATCATGCTGTGGCGGAGGTCTAGGTTGAAATTGAGTTATAGTCGATTTGTGGTGCTTGACATTGTACTCTTTAAGATAATAAAGTTGTGCTTTCATCACTACTTATGAGTTTTGGCGAGATGGTAAGCACTTGATCCTATAGGTCTAATGTTGTAAGACAAGATTGGGGATGACGCATATATTTTTATTATATAGTGTTGATTCAGTCCAAACCCTACTTGACTTGATATTTAACCACACTTGCCACGTGGCCATGTCGCATGACAATTGAATAACCTCTTCACGTTTAGTGTCTACCTCAAGTTTGATTTCTTTACCCAACCCTTATCCATTCTTACTTGAAAGTTACAAGGAAAACTTAATTTAATGTATAAGGTAATGTTTGATAGCTTAATTCAGTACTTAAAATCAATTAAGCCCGTTTGTTAATCATAAATGGTATAACTTTAAAATTTAAGTAGCTCTTAAAATGTAAGTTAATTTTAAAAAAAAAAATTAAGTAATTGAAAATTTTCTTAATTTTGATTGCATTTATAAATACCTATATATAAACATCAACATACATTGTTATAACCTCACAATCGCTGCCATAACTACTGTTGTCGCCGCTACCACTATCATTATCGCCGCCTCTACCACCAATATCACCACCATCATTGTTACCACCGATATCACCACCATCATTGCTACCACCACCATCCACGATCACCACTTTTATCACTAGTGTCATTGCTACATACACACCACCATTATTTCACTAACCATTATCATAGTCGCCATTGTTATTATCACAACTATAACTCTTCACCTTCACAATCATTGCCACTATTGCCATAATCATCTCCACCACCACCACTACCACCAACAGTTTAGCACTTAAATTTGTATCAAACAAATTTTAAACTTAAAAAATTTAGCATTCATTTTTTCAAATTTTAATTTTTAATTTTCAATTTTATCAAACACCATTTAAGTAGGCAAAATATTAAACTTTACAAACTAAACAATCAATGATTAGTAAATTGACAATGTGATTTGTTATGTAATTGGAGAAACATTGACATATGATAAACTACAATTGAAAAACTTATATTGCATAGAATGTAATTTTATTTTATCATAAATACAATTTTTGTAATTTATTTATTTATTTTCTTTATTTCTACCAATTAAGCTATAAAATCTATTTCTTATTGACATCTTAAAATATACAATTAATGACATGAAAAAAAAATTTCAATAAAAATATTTAAAATTTATTAGATTTAAAATTATTTTTTTACTTAAATATATATATATATATATATATATTTCAGTATTTACCCACAATAGATTCAATCAGTGTATTTTCTTAAACCTTCAGGGGGGTGAGTGTAATATACCAGAATGCTGTATATAGTGAAAAATAGCAAATTATCAGAAAATGTTGTTAGGGTTTAAGAGTGTAGGGGTTGGAACTACTTGGGGTTTTGCTCTTACATGATTTCCTGTAACTTCTAGGGTTTCACTTTCTCTCTCACCAAATTCCTCTCTCATTTCCACTATTAGGAGTTACTGTTTCATCTCTGAGACTCCAACATCACCATGTGGGCGCTTCGCCGTGCCGCTAATCCTCTCAGGTAACACTCTCTTTTCTGGTTTCTGTTTATAACTTCGTTAATTATCGAATTTTTCTTTTCTGGGTTTTTTTTTTAAATTTTTTTTTTTATTTTATAGTAACGATAAATTATTTCTGTTGGCTGAGAAAGTGGCGGAAAAGAAAAGAAAAGAAAAGAAAAGAAAAGAAAAAGATAGTGTAAATTTTGAGTCTTCTGGCTAGTTTTATGTGGAATGCAAAAACTTGGACTCTAATAAGGCAAATAGTTCAAGTGTTGAAGTTTTAGTTGTCTTATATTACTATTTCTAAGCAACCAAAAAAACAAAAAAAAATAATTTAGGTGCTCATTAATTTAAAGTGTTTATCTGCATTGGCTTCTCTTCTTATTTTAAGTTAATTCACTTCCCTACCCATTTGTTGCGCTTTTGTCCTCAGTTTTACAATCTTCTTTTATTTATTTTTTTGTTTATTTCAGTTAATATTCGAACATGGGTATGGAACATATGCATTTTCTTTACAAAAAAGGTTGCAGGAGTGAAACCAAGTAGGCTATTAGCTCTCGTTGTTGACTGTTCTTCTGCAAACAGCAATGTGCTGTACATCTCTTGGTTACGAACTTGGTAATTGTAACCAGCATCTACCAGGGGAAAACAGGGCCTTATTCAATCTAGAGGTTGGTTAGGGAGGAAATAGAGTACAAAGAATGCATTACAACATTTCTGAGAAAGGGAGTTCCTCCAATTTTTAAGTACCTACCCACATACAAACAAGAGAGTAAAGCAATTTTGATTACTTGCACTGTTGTCAAATCGCGAATTGAATCATGAATTTTTTTGCCAAAATAATATATAATTTCTAATATGTATATACATATAAAAATGCGCACTTAGCGCATGTTTGGTTTGTCTCTCAAAGCATGTTTTTGGAGAAAAAATTCCAAAAACATGTTTGGTTGAAAATATAAAAAAAAATCCAAAATCACTTTTCTCTCTATAACACATCAATCAATCACTTTTTCTCTCTTCTCTCTCCTTCTCAATCACTTTTTCTCTCACATTCATCTATTCAACTACAAAAAAATATCAAATCATCCAAGACTCCAAAACTCCAAAACTATTTTCAAAATATACAACCAAATAAATTTTCAAATTTTCTAAACTTTCTCCAGAAAATTATTTTTGAAATAATATCTCAAAACACAAACCAAACAAGGCCTTAGTGTTTAAAATGAAACAAAAATCAATATAATTAGATTGCATATGTATATATATATAACTTATTGATCTCTTATATATCTTGATAGTTTGGTGAAAATGACATTGTATCATGCATTACGTAAACAAAAACAAAAATAGAGTTGAATCACATTGAATTGAATTGCACAATTCACTCAATTTCTGATTCAATGGCACGATTTAAATTGGTTTTTGTTGAAACTCATATATCAAATGATGATTTGTATGATTCTAACAACCACTCTTCCTTGTTGCATGTTTGTTACTTATGGTTATACACATGGTAATGGAATTGGTTTTGTGTCTTTTTTTTTTTTGGGTGGGTGGGTAGTTAAGTGTTTAGTTATATACCAAAAAATAAAGATATTACAATGATATGACTCCAAAGGGAAAACAACTTCAAAACAAGCAACACACAGGCCATAGGTCTGCAAGGGAAACAACATACCTAGCCTAAAATATAGATCTCTTACCGCCTGAGAGGCTAGGCGAACCAAACACACCCTAAGTCATACACAAAAAAATGGGCACGAAATAGAACAGTAACGCATAACCCAAAGAGAATATAGTACGGGGAGAATAAGACAATCAACAAAGCTCAACCCAAACATGCCCAAAAAAAAAAATAAAAAATGCCAACATCTCAAAAGGAGACAATTGGTGAAAGCACCAGACGTTAGCTACAAGTATCCACAACCGTTATGACTCTCACACTACTTAACATGACAGTACCTTTGGCAGTGAAAGCCATCATTATGACTCCCACACTGTGCAAGAATTGGTAGTGCTCCAACAATATAAATATAGCTCTATCCGGCCTTCACCAGTAGTTGAAAATCCCTTCTAAATGCATAAATACCCATAGCCACACTTCATCAGTAATATTATTTATTATGATGGTTATTATCTTCAACGTGATCCTAAATTACTGATATTTTTTAGAAGGAATAATAAAATTGTAATTTTTTTATTTTATTTTTTTGATGCTATTGTAACTTGTAGGCTGGTGGCAATAGTCCAAGCCACCATCTAATGGTTATTTGAGTCTCAAACTACTTTGTGACGTCCTTAGAAAATTTAGACATTTGTCTCTTGCTGTATTTTCTGTATTTGCATCAGTATTTGTAGCTGTAAGTATATTTTGTGCTGTCAGGGGGATTCTTCTTCCCAACCGGTTTATGGCTACCATAATCAGGATTATTGTTTTAGCACTCTGGTCTGCTTTTTCATATTCTCTTTTCTAAATCTCTGAATATCTGACTGTTTTTTTGTTGGCATTCAGGAATCGAGGATTCAGCATCAAAACTTCTCGAGCTTCTTGTGTTAAATCAAAAGTAACAAGTTGTTATTTAGATGACAAAGCTAGTAATGGTGATTCTTGCCTTGTAATATCTGATGGATGCATGTCTTTGAAGAGATTTTACAGCTCAGCACATGGTTCTCCAAAATTTCTTATGGGTACGTGCAGTTTTTCCTCTCAGGCGGACACAAAAAGCAGTGCACAAGAAGAAGATGATCTGGAGGATGGGTTTTCTGAGCTTGAAACTCCAGCTAGTGCTGACATGATACAAGACAGCAACGTGGACGGAGAAAATGAAGATGAATTGATTTCTGAACCAGAGCTCTCTGAAGAAGAAGATGATGATGATGGTGTGGAAGAACCTCAAAATGAGCTAGAATTATCTGATACTGAGGCAGATGTAACTGAGAAAAGATCTCCACCAAAGAGAGCTTTTTCAACATTGTTCCAGGCTATCGTGGATGCTCCGGGTTTGTCTGTTCAAAGTACTTTGGATAAATACGTTGAGGAGGGAAATGACTTGAGTCGGTCAGAGATATCCTTGGCCATGTTAAACCTTCGGAAGCGTCGGATGTATGTGAGGGCATTGCAGGTGATTTGATTCTAATTTTTTCCCCTTGCATAAGATTAAGTTGGCTTGTATGGCATGTATTTTCTTCTTTAATCGTTACTTTTAAATTTTGTAGTCTGTATCCTGGTTCCAATAAGTAGGTATATGAATTTGTTAGTCAGCTTTTGCATTGATTTATTTATTATCTTTGTTTTCTAAAATATATGGGGCTCTAAATCACGATAACGTTGTTGGGAAAATGTCTTAAAAGAATAAAGACACTTGCAAAAGTTTTCTGTCTTGAAAACTATTGTTACGTTGTAGCTCTTAATCATGATAACAATGTTGGGAAAACTCTTGAAAGCATAAAGACCCTTACAAAGTTGGGTTATTTGGCCAAAACTCCCTTGTTGAGCCCCTTGTTAGTGAAAAGGACAGCCTCAACTATTTTACTTTGTAAACCCCCTCAAGAAGTAGCGTTTCCTTCCTCAAGGACAAAAAAATTTGTTTCCATTTTTTCATGCTTGAGCTTGCCCTTCGATATATACGGTATAGATTTGAATCAAATCTTTCAACGCGCTCTTTTCTTCATCAATCATATTCCATATAGTTTGTATTCCCAACAGATTTGATCATCAACCTTACAATTCTTCAAAATCTGAAAAAAAATTCAATTTTGATTCTGATGAAAAGTACACAATTATTGAAGCTTTTTGAAATGAGATTAAAGATTGAAGAATGTATATTTTGTTTACTATGATTGTTTTTTTATTGAATTTGATTCAATGATAGTATTTTTGTTGCCATTAGATTAATTTTACTTTGATTTGCTTTGGTAATATATGTCCAGTGTTTTATTTTTGTTGATGCTCTGTTTAAGAGCGAATAAAATTTTACTCTGGTTTGCTATAGTAATAAGTTATTTGTCTATTATTTGCTGATGCTCTGTTTAAATTAACAGTAAAATTTTACTTTGTTAAAGTTATTGGCCGTGTTTAGTTTGTATTTGTGAGACAATTTTGAAAAACAATTTTCTAGAAAGAGTTTAAAAAATTTGAAAATTTGTTTGGTTGTATGTTTTGAGAATAGTTTTGGAGTTTGGGATGATTTAATTTAATTAAATTTAATTTATTTTTTTTTTGTAGTTGAATAGATGGGTGTGAGAAAAAAAGTGATTGATTGATGTGTAGGATGTGAGAGAAAGAGTGAAAAAAATGATTGATTGATGTGTAGTAGAGAAAAAAGTGATTTTGAATTTTTTTTTCAAAAAATATTAACTAAACAAATTTTTGAGATTTTTCCTCAAAAATTGTATCCGTAGATACAAACCAAACTAGGCCATTATTTCATTTTACTATGTTAAAGTTATGTTTTTGTAATTGTTTATTAACAATTATAGTGACTATGATGCTTAGTGATGATGATGGTATTTCACTATTTAAATAATAAAATTTTACAATAAAATTTATTATGAATCAGTGACAAATTTAACTGTGTGATACAAGTAAAATTTTACGGTTGACGTTAATTTTGATGGTAAAAATTTTACTATTTTTTGTTAGAGAATTTCAAAGCCAACATGGATCTAATTTGATAGATCTTGATGAAAGGATTATAAAAATACTAATTTTATTTAAAAACAACATGTAGATCAACAAAGTTATATTATTTTAAAGTTTAAAATATTAAATTAGTTACTAAGGATATTTTGATAATAGTAGTGTGTGTTGGACTTTTAAAGGAATTTTTTTTGTGCTTGTTCCTAATGTATGAAAGTTTTATTATGAGGAGGTTTTGACCAAATTCTCTTAAAAAGTTATTTATCTACAAAACCACCTATAAAATTCCCCTAAACTATTTATTTTTATAAATATATTTGACCAGAATTCTAAGTTTTACTGCCATACTAAAGCTAACACTCCTGAGGTAAAGACTACCATGTGCACTCCAAAAAGGGTGTATATGGTACGCACCTTAGCACAAAAAATATATTAGCACAAAAAATATAACTTTTGTCACAAAAAGCATAATTTTACCATTCATAAATTTAGGGGTGCACATCATAATTTCGTCATTCATAACTTTTACCACAAAAATCATAACTACCATCACAAAAAATCGTAACTTTCATCACAAAGATCGAAACTTTTTTTTATGGTGTGCACCTTTTTAGGGGTGCACATTGTAGCATTTCCCTTCTTTTTCTTTGTTGGAGTCGATAAATGTTGTAAAAAATTTCTTCTTGATTAGGACAAAAATGGCAGTTTTGGAAGCTTGAGTTTGAATGGTATTATGTTTTTCTTATCTCAGCCACTTATCATGCAGTGTGTTTTTCCATGGCAATCTCCTTATATAATCATGCAACATGATCTCCTTAGTAAGATGGAAAATATGGTGGTTGTACATCTACATCTGTCTTTTTCAGTCCATTAGTTGTACCCTTTTTAGCTTTTGTTAACAATTCAATCTTATTTGTCTTCTCTTTTTGTTTTCAATTTTTTTGTTTTGTTTTGTTTTGTTTATTTATTTAATTTCGTTTGTTTCTTTGTCAATAATCTTTCCTCAGATCCTTTTGGGTTTCAATCTAGCTCAGTTTTATCATGCATGTTTAATCATCTTCAGCTTTCTCTTTTTTTTTTTTTTCCTTCTTTTTTTTTCCCCTTTTTTAAATTGTTATATAGTTAACCCCCCCATAACTTGATGATAAATTGAATTCTATTCTAGATTGCATAAATCTTCTGCTTTTTGTTATTGTGTTAACACCCTCATTGTTGACAACAAATTTTACTGTGCTAATTAGTCTGATAATTCCTCCATTTTCTCTGGTGTGAGATGACTGCCCTAATAACTTTGGCTGATTAATCTGTTTATTCACCATATGTTTTGGTGACAGAACTGGCCTACAATTTTTTTTTTTTTTGGGTAAGTTAAAGTTTTATTCCAAAACAAAGCAACTAATACAACTCAAGGAAAAAAATTACAAATCCAACACTCAAGATTACAGAAGCGCAGCCCTTCTAAAATTGCGATCAGAAATCCCCCAAGAAGCTAAACGATGCCTATTATCTAAGCTATCCACAACATTCTCCCAAGAACTAACCTTGCATCTAATACTGCTAGAACTCTGTCACAATCCAATGAGTGCCCTCTGAAAATTCTGGAATTCCTCTCTTGCCAGATGTGATACACTGCAGCTGCAATGGCTAATTTTAGCATATTAGTTTTTAAGCAATCTTTTCCTTGGCTTATGGTAGCTCCCTCAAGTTCCTGAACCAAGTCACGAGGGGTTCGGAATATCTGAAGGAGACTCAAGAGCTTACCCATGATTACAGCAGAGAAGGCACAACCAAGAAAGAGGTGATTATGATTTCAACATAGAGATTACATAGAATACAAACCAGGTTGGCAGAAACTTCCCATTTATGAGTTCTGTCAGGGGTTGATAACTGTTCCATACCACCAAGCCATACCACAAAGGCCCATTTAGGAACATATCCAGGAAACCACACAGCCTTATGCTGAGGAAGAATCTGATGGAGAGTTCTGATGGCATTCCAAGCAGAGTTCACAGTGAAGTGACCATTAGCATCTGCTACCCACACAAATTCGTCTTGACTATTAGAAGCAGGATTCAAAACGTGAGGAATTAGATCAATAATCTGCTGCAAGACACTAGATCGTCTGTTAGGCCACCTCCATGCCCCATTTTGGAAAACAGAAGCCACTTTACAATGCAAGCTCCTAATCAAGTTCAGGCGAATACGAACACCATATCTAGGAAACAAAGGGCCATTGGGATGCCAATTATCAAGCCATAGAAAAGTATTTTCACCATTCCCAATCTTCTTTTTAATGAGAGAAACAGCAATAGTCCTGTGCTTGAAAATTTTCCTCATAGTCCAAGACATCACTTGGACAACTTATGCACCAAAAACAATGGCTTTTAATCACATATGTATGAATCCATTTAACGCAAAGGATATTAGCTTTCATACTTGAAGCCCAAATATTTTTTAGGATAGCTGCTTTGTTCCAATCAATAAGACATTTAAACCCCAAACCACCTCCCCTTTGAGGAGCAAAAATATGCTGCGAACTAATCTTAGCATGGCCTTTTAGCTCTGAACCAGTCCATAAGAAATTCCTCATGATAGGAAGAATAAAAATTGAGAACCAATAGACTTGGATACTGAACAAAACAAATTGAATTAATTGAATGGTTGAACCCTGCCCCCATATGAGAGTAACTTTGTAGACCAATGCTTGATTCTAGCTAAAATCCTGTCAATTAACTGGCAACAATCCTCAGTTTTAAGTTGAGAAGATATAAGGGGAACACCTAGGTATTTGACAGGAAACCTCCCCACTGGAATAGGTAAGAGAGAGAGAGAAGGTATTATCATCAACTCCACATAGAAAGATAGAGCTTTTACCCAGATTAGGCTGCAGCCCAGAAAGGTTATGAAAATTCTGCAAGGTCTCTTTAATGATATGAAAGGATCCGCTATCAACTCCACAAAAGTTGAGGATCACTTCAGAATAAAATTTGATTCTATAGCTTGATCTTCCAATTATTTGTTAGCCTTTATTAGTTGGTATTCTCAATTACTCCACAAAAATCCACTATTAGTAGGTATTCTCAATAACCCCACAAAAAATGCCCCAAAGCACGAGAGAGCTTATTCCTTGGCATGTCTTGGTCACGAAACTCTATCTTTGCAATCATTTTGCCTCAGCTTCTGTTTTATTTTTGCTAGGCAGTCTAACGTGGTATTGAAGTTACTATTCTTAATGAAAGTTTCTCTGTGCTGGTGGTTTTTGAATTTGTCTGCTTTGTAATTTTACTTCAATTAATGGTATGATTGATTTTTTCTTCCACTATTAAACAATTACACATTGATTTGTAGTAGATTTCGAGGTCTTTCCTCATCAAACGAACATGGAGTAGAATGGTCTGAGCATGATTTCATGCTCACTTGATGCACTATTAGTTTAGGCAGTTTTGTATTTTCTTTATAAATTTTGTAGCTTTGGGCTATTGT